TAACATATATATATAAACTATGGCTATATTTGATCACGAAAATAGTAGATGAAGGAGTCGCAATAGCGGATGAAACTTTTTAAAGCGAAAACAATTTTCCTCCACAGACAAATTCTACGAAAGTACCAGCTAATCGAAAATCCCAAATCAAAAGGCCAACGCTGTACTTCATTAATTAGTATAAAGTTCGTATTTGCAGCTCTCTAACTTATGGATGGTGTCAAAACATTCATAGTTGAAATAATTATCTCTTCACACGTATTAGTGCATGCATAGTGCAAAGTTGAAAACTTTGCAGACACATTCGCTACGTTCATAATTTGAGAGTTGCAAAAGTTTCAAAGCTTTATCAAACTATTTATTTTTGAAGTTTAATTTATTAAGTGTATGGCTAAATGATTAAACACTTAGCTGTTATTTTTATTAACTTTCTAAATATGGTGATGAACATGATAAACTTTTGACTGTCAACCAAAACTGGTCTCAACATTTTAATTTTTGACTTCGTCAGTACCCTTAGTACGAGTTTGAGCTCACGAAAACTATCATAGTTTTTGTAATTGTAAATTATGTTTCTATGTCCATATTGGTGAAATGTAACCAAAGGGTAGGTAGGGTAAAGGGTACAGATGAAGTGTCAAATAATTGGTGTTTTATGTTCTTGATCTAATTGATTGACCATATCCATTTTGAAAATTTTGCAAATATCATGAATACCTAACCTTAAACATTGTATACTGAACCCGCACCCTTCGCAATCCGGGCGAATGCACTGACCAATTATGCTACCGCGGCCTTCACGGACCGCGTCGAAATTCCCCTAGCCATTCCTAAGCTGTAAGGCAGCGCCATCTCTTCGCATTATAGGTAACCCACAATGTCGCCGGATTGCGAAGGGTGGGGGTTCGAGTCCCGTCTGCTGCCTGGTCCGAGTGGATTTTTTTCTAGTTATATTTTCTTTAGATGTACTTAAACATCAAGCAGTTACATGCTTTAAAATAATAAAAATTATAATTGTATACTGAAGCTAGATTTTAAAGCAAAAATTTGAATTTAAGCTACTTCTTTAGCTTAAATTCAATGTAAACTGAATTAACACAACAAAAACTGTCATTTCTATTGAGTACATTCAAAATCTCACTGGTTTACGATTTCACATTATCAACAGCTTTATTGCGTGCTAACAAGAGCTACGTTCTGAGTGCTAGTGTCATTGAGTGCGTGGCCTTCACTAGGTAAATACACTCATATCACGGTAGAAATACTGGTTTTTATCGCGCTCTACTTCAAAGTGAAGACAATGAACTTGTGTAGCCAAATGTCAAGTTCATGCGCAGTCGCCGGTAGAGACAGCCAAGAAGGTCGGACGCCGGGCGCTCCAAATAATTCCTGCTGCACTGCTTCTGGGCGCCAGACTGTGGCATTTGGCATTAGTTCAGCGCGAATCACTCACTGTTGGCCGACTAATACGATTGCGACATAGTTCTTTTTGTTGTCTACGGCAGAATTCAAGCTTACGCAAACTAAAACGAACAGTTTTAACTGGAGCTACTTCATCTTGTTCTCGGAATATTTACAGGGTTAATGGTAATTCGATAGGTAATATACTCGTATTTAGCTGTATCGTTACCTCTTTAGACTAGCGGCTCTTCTCTGTAATAAGTTGTGTTTTTCGTAAATAATTTTGTATGTGACACGGCAATTGACCATCATTTTTGATATATAAATCGTAGTCCCTAATATGTACACGAACTTATAAATTTGGCCGTAGTAAGTATATACCTAGAAAAACTTAGTCTTATAACGGATTTGCCACCCTATTTTGAGTTTCCCGAAATCCTCTACTATACTACAAAAACTTCTGTTAACAATATCAAAATCGTTGAAAAATATAAAAAACTGTTTCTCATCGATTTATTCGTCCCGTCATCGGTCCCATTTAGCATCGAAAGTGCAGACTGCCAGATGTTTGCCATCTTTTTCAAGAGGCTTACTTAACCATAGTTAGCAATTATAAAATTTCCGAATTAACAAAGTCGTCAGTGCGATAGCATGTTACAGACCGGACGTGCAATAAATCGGTTTAGTAAGCTATCGTTATCAACATTAAGTAACACAATAAAACTTACATTATACAATTGATAAGATTATTATTTTAAGATACAAACATTCTTAAATCAAAACAATACTTGAAAATGCAATTTGATACCTGTGAGCCTAAGTCAATTAGTATCAAAGCTATCGAAATATCTAAGTTTGAATTCTGATTTGATATTGTTTTTAGAATTTAGTTTGAACCATAAGAAAAAATCAAAAAGAAATATAATGAAAAAGTTAAATTTAATTACTTCTCGTGATCTATATAGCCTTAGCACGAACTATCGAAAATATCGAATTCGTAACGTTTGCGAGTCCGAAATGTCATTGTCAAATGTGTACAGATTTTTTGTTCTCGTTACGTATTTGTGATGTGTTCAAGTTTCCATACAAAATTTGACATTGACATTTAGCACTCGCAAACTATTCGAATTCGATAATGGTTCGTGCTAGGGGTACTGGTTAAAGCAAAACATTACAATATTACTCAGATAGTCTATACCTACTAAGTGTAGTTAGTATTAAAAAGTTGATTGTGTTTGTCACGTGAGTTTTCCACTGATAAGAAGTCTGTATATGCAATGCTTTGAAAAAACTTATAATGTGAATGGAATGTGCAAGATTTCAGCATTGTATACTCTTTTTTTAAGAATAACTAAATTCCCATTGAATTTGTAATAAGTAGGTAATAATTTATGCAGATGTAGAGGCTGGAACTAATTGCAGTAAGGTAACAAAGGTTTTAAGAAGACACTAACAAGCAAACTTTTATAGTGGCCGCCGACGATAATTAATTTTTAAGTTTGATTGTTAAAATATTTTCAACCGCCCTGATAGTCAGATCAGTACCTAGCACGAACCAATATCGAATTCGTATCGTTTGCGAGTCCGAAATGTCATTGTCAAATGTGTACTGATTTTTAGTTCCCGTTACGTACTTTGTGCCGCTGCTGTTCAAGTCTCCATACAAAATTTGACATTGACATTTCGGTTTGCAAACTATTCGAATTCGATAATGGTTCGTGCTAGGGGTACAGATCTTAGCATCACTTTACATTTCATTTTACTTACTGCGTATGTATTCTGTAAGATGCAATCTCACTTACGATCTCTTTTATTCGGATTTCTGATAAATGTCAAAACTCCAATACTGGCTGCTCTACAGACATAGCGACATTTTGCCGTGTAATGGCGTAATGCATATCAATCTCAAATGGCAGCTACCGAAATTGGGAGTGAGATTTTATTTACAGAATCGGCCTACTGCTTTGAATGTTGGAAAAATTTATAGAAATTTATTGCAGACCTGCAAACCTACAAGTTCTTTTTGCTGAATTCTTTTCACCGTGAAAGATATTAACTACGACGGTTAACGGCAAAGTTGATGTTGATTTTTTGTCCTTGCCAAATATGTCACGAAGCTAATATTTATGTTAATTATATTCTTATGACACTATAATTGTTCATGCGCAAATATTTAGTTGACGCAAAAAATAGTAAGTACCTACCTACTCTGTCACAACACTAAAGTCTATTTTTAGTCAGATTAGTAGGTAGGTATAACATTTAAATAAACATTGTTTAAGATGCGTTTTAATACTTTTTACACATACCTATCTCTATGTTTCGGATCCTTACAGAGTAGGTATGAAAAACTCTACTTAAACCCGTTGAAACATAGTTTTATTCAATGACTTGTGTGCAGTGTAAACGTATAAGAAATAAGTAGCTCCGATAATGTTTTTAATGTTATAGGTAGGAATAATATTTAACAGCTGCACTCAAAGAGGATAATTAAAGTAATGCTTTTTAAGTTACGTAGTCTCATTCTATTAGGAAGGAGGAGAACCCAGAAAAGGTATTCTTACCTTTAGTCGCAGAGACAGCAGAGCCAGAGCCTACGACTTTAATTAAACTAAAAGTTACTCGAGTTGAGAGGTTTCAGAAAGCGTGCGTGCGAGTTTAATGGTTTCGTAGGTAAGTTTTGTTACATTATTAATTAGGGGTTTTCTAATAGTTTAGAATTTCAATAGCACGTGGAAAATTTCAATTAAAATGTTAAATAAGTACCTACCTGCCTTATGAATTTCTTTCAATGCCTAGATTTAGATGTTAAACTATGAAAGTTATACCTATGTTCAATTAGTTGAAAGGGTTTTGTCATTGATTAACGTCTGTTTTACTGCTGATAGCATAGCATAATATAGGTATTGTGATTAATAATATTTTTTAATAAGTACTCTCCGTCCGTACCGTAATATTATAGTCTCGTCTGCTGCCTGATCCGCGTGGAACTTTTTCTAGTAAAAAACATTTAGCAGTTAAATGCTTAAAAAATATAACTAAATATAATAATAATTTGCCTGACAGTAAGTTAAGCCTGAGACTTTAGCCCTTAGTACTTTTATTGCTTTTGGAAAAAGGACTCATTGTAAAAAATAAGCTATGGTTAAAACATTCAATTCCAGTGGAACATATTGAGAGCATAAAAATGCACGCTTGATGGAGCATCCTGTTGAATGGTATTTCAATTGTCTATTGTGTTGTTTGTTATTTATGAACACATTGCGTTGGGTACTAAAAAACTAAATACCTACCTACCTCAATGGACAGTAGGTACACAAAATATGCTAAAAGGGATCGCCATAAAGGTAAAATTGTAGTACTTATGGGTAATTTAAACGAGGGCCGATTAAGCTGCGAATGATGTTATGAAACTCCTCTACAATAAGATCCGAAAGCTTAACGCTTCGAATGAGGTTATCTATCACTCAAGAAAACAGGTTCGAGCCAGCGTGATTTACACAGCCACGCTGCAGCTCTTTCTATACAGTGTAACACTAACAACTCGCGCTGTGTGTAAACAAACCCGGATTAAGTACAATGAAAAAAAGAATACAAACCTTCTATAGCTACGACGTGATCTCGGATCTGTTGGGCCAGCAACGGGTCAGGAACCAACTCCACAAGATCGTAAAGAGCATAAATCGAAGGATGCACGCTCTCAAATCTCTGTATCTCCTGCCTTATAGACAGGGATGTGTTCAAACATGCCTGCGAATGCTGCCGTGTGCACATCGTGGATCTGTATCCCAGCATTTGGCCAGGTTAACCCAATTAGCACACCACAAAACGCACTAAACAGAAAGATGCATTCTCATTTCAACGCCGCGTGAATCCACCGCACTCGGCGGCGTCGAAATACAAATCAAAACACACTTTATTTGTTTGAAAACAAGTTTACCACAATATTTTGAACGATATTAACACTTATTGCAACCGTATTATTGGTTAGAAATGCAACGTAAATAACGTAAACAACCAATCAACGTGTAATACACTGACAGTAGCGTAAACAGACCACCCCGGCGGCGGCCATTACCGAACTGTGGCGTTTTGATAGCATTGGAAACGCGAGCTGTCATTGGTATTTTGATTCCCGGCGCCATCTAGTGATGCGTTTTGAAACTTCAATGTAAACTTTAAGAATGATGCTTCGAGATTCCTAATGCTTTTACATGGGTATGAAGGTTTATACAATTTTAATAGATGTCGCCCAATTTTATTTTGATTTGCTCTTTTTTCTTTTTCTAAGAAAAAATCGTAGTAAAAATATAAGTTGGGGTTCTATACTAAACAGAATATATTATCAATTTTATTTCTATTATTATATTTATATCTATAGGTATTAAAAAAACAAAGTCCTGTTATTTTTCTTTAGATAAAAACATCAGTTTAATGCTTAATAAATAAAAAATAATAAAATACATACACCTCTTTTAATAATTGAAGAATTTTCAGATTCCTCTAAGCCCCGAATAGCAGAATGAATAACTAGTAAAATATCGAGAAAGTCACGGAAAAAATTGACGGAGGCTTGGGTGCGCCTCCGTCATTTTGCCCAAGGATATTTCAGTTTAAAAATCAAAGCAATATGTAAAGAAAGACTAATAGAACTTTGACTAGTATTAAATAATTAAACTTGCACTGGGAGGAGGGGACTAAGCCAACACTAACGAGCGATCTTGAGTTATATTTATTCTAACTAGCTAACACGACATTGGTTCAATTATCTTACCAGTCAATCATATACCAGCAATCTAGATCATTCAGGTATTCTATACAATACCTAGGCAATGTATAGAATGCCAATATATGAAATACGATAAATGTTATTTACCATTTTATATGGTCCGTAGTGGCCGGCGAAGCGCCACTCACCTGACAGATAATATATAAATAATTATAGTTAATAGGCAAATAAACATGGAAAAGGCGACACACTATTTTCTTTTACACACATGGCCTTTATGAGCATATAATATATACTCTAACTAAGCACAGGGCCGAATGCGTATGCATTCGTTAATGTATAGAATACCTAGTGAAGTATAAATGAATAGGTATTATTCCATACATTGCCTTGACGTTTTTGGCAGTCTATACATTGCCATTACATAGGTAATGTATAGAATGCCGAATTATACAGATCGCCGGTATACAGTTACATATACTTAGATAGATAGATGTGCTATAATTCAAGCCTCCAAAAACTATAGTCTGCACCAAAGCGAAGGTAGTCCGGACCACTTGTATACAAAAGACGTATTATAAAATTGTAGGATTCACGAGTCTGTTTCTGTCCTACATCGGTATTTGTAAAAAATAAAAGTTTTAGATAGATGGCGCTGCTTGATTTTACATCGCGATATGGTTCATGATTGCTTTTGCAGTTAGTAGTTTCTCCTAAATATCGTCATCGTGAAAGCAGTTATTGTTAATACAATTTTTGAAGCTATGTACTCTTATGGTCGTAGCATAGCAGGCGTCTGAAAGATCAACCCAAACCGTTGCGTCAGTCAGTATTCTTTGAATGATACTTCGTTATCGTAAGTACTCTCAAATTAATAATGCGCATACAAATCTTCGCTAATGGTCGTATTCCCGGACACACCCTTTGAATTAATCGTAAAAGCCCTAAACAATGCACTTGTATTGTAGTTGCCTTGCCTCGGGACAAGCTCCTGTTTCAGTGAGGAGGCTACGTTACGAAGTACGATAATTTTCGATTAGTGTGCATTCCAGAGTTATTTAATTTATACAACGAATACTGACAGCTCGAGTTGATATTGATACAGTGGCGATCCCATCCATTGTTTTTTGAAAAAGAAAAAAAGCAACATTAAATATCCAATTTGTACCTAGTTAGAATCAAGTATAGTGTTACGAATATAATGAATATTTTTAAAACCAAGAGTCCACTGATCAATAAATCTTTGAAAGAATGTGGTGAAAATCGTGATGATCATGATACACTGACGTTTCGTTAGTGTAACAATCAAAGGGATTTGCGAAAAAACCGACAGTCGAGTGGAGCAACCGGCGTTCGTCGCAAATTATACATTACAAACTATCGTTACAACAAACCAGATTTTGGTTAAAGTTACGAAAACTCAATACATTACAACAAAAAGGTTAAGCTGGAAACTGACTTGTGCCGTTTGTTTGTAATGTACCATACGAGGTGATCGGAGCGAGTTTACAATACGGCGACACAGACACACTTAAGTATAGTGTGTTTCTAATGTGTCATTTGAGATTTTGGCTCAAATGTGCTCCATCTTTACTCAAAATAGCAAACGTATAGGTTGTGTGTGTTTCACTAAGTTATAAAAACTTAAAAAGAACAAAAGACAAATCAATCTTGGATTTGTACGAAAAACGAATCAAAAATAGGGGTACAAATTTAATGAATATTTGTCTGTCCGTCGACTACGAGGCCTGTGCGAGTAGGAAGGAATGGGTAACCATATTATTATTTTAAATCAGTAACGTACAAATAAAAACCTCAGTATAATTATCGTGACGTAGAAAATGGTAAGCATCAATGACGTAGGTAAATTCTTAGATTAAAACAAATCTAAGGGTTTAATGTACCTATACAAAACATCATAGGTAAGTATCATGTTTTCATTAAAATTTGGAAATTATTGTCAGAATTCATACAAGATTCACGTGCATGACATTGACTTTATACTTGTCTGCCTGAAGATTTTTTTACTAGATAAAAATCCATTTGAGCCGGGTTTTAAACAGGATTCGAACCCGCATCTTCGGCAATCCGGCTGGATTTTTGCGCAAATCTAAAGTAACTAGTCCTTTAAGGTTATAATCGCCAAAATCATTAGGTTAATAGCAAAAAGAAAATCATATACAAGTCTGCAAAAAATCAGAACCACCGGATTTCACGCCAAGTACCCCGCACTTTCAGCGACAAATGAAATTTATGAACTCTAATTTTAAACTAAGAAGTAAGCCTTATAGTAGGGGAGCCCAAGCGGGGATTTTTGGATTTACTCGAGCGCGGCAGAATAACATATGGGGAGCAACCTTGCACCTAGTTAAGTACTCCCACCAAACCTGAGCCCTCTATGTAGGGCCGAACGTCGAGGGCAGCAAAAACAAAATTTCAACGAACAGTTCTCTTTTGGTCGCGCCTAAATCGTCAGTCTTTTGAATATAAGCTACTAGAGGGTTCATATAACGTTTCTAAGAACGGAAAAAATATTGATCTGCCGTGGTTTGTATGATATGGGGGTGGCCGTAGGAAGGGGAAGAATATAGGAAAAAATAACCGAGTGCGTCAGATATTGAGAAGGGATGTTACGTGAAACCTCCAGTAGCTCCTATTCAAAAGACTGACGATTTGGACCCGACCAAAAGTCATGGCCGTTTGTTGAAATTTTGTTTTTGCTGCCCTAGACGTTCGGCCGTACATAGATGGCTCAGGTATAGTGGGAGAACTTAACTACGTGCAAGGTTGCCCCCCATATGTTATTCTGCCGCGCTCGAGTAAATCCAAACATGCTCGCTTGGGCTCCCCTACTATTAGCATTTGATCGAATAGAGAGATGGTCACTTGTTTCGCTGTATCCAACGAAGAGCGTGAGAATATTTTTTTCTGTAGTCTCTGATCATTTTGTCATACTTAGACAGGTTGCACTCTTGAATCTAGGCATCACGGTCCAAAGTCGGATGCAGAATCGTCATTTTACAAAAATTGCGATGTTCTTCTGATCATTAATGTTCAGTGTTATTATCGGGTTGACAAATACACGTGAACTGTATATAATCAGTACTCATTCAACTATTTTGCGCTGTATTACTACATCCGGTGTATTGTGTTTGATCAGTTAGATAAAGCCGTTGATGTTTCGCTGTCTTGATATTCACAGATGTTTATAAATGTAAATTACTAACGCCACTTTATTTAATTTATATCGCACCACAATTACCGTAAAGATAGTATCTTACAGACTTACAATTATGTTATGCTATCTAAAAAGGTATGATAAAATGACGCCATGTCTCTTTATATCGAGGAAAGCAGGGACAACTTTGTATTTTGATTCGTGGTGACAATCATCATCATCATCAGCCTATTAATGTCCCCACTGCTGGGGCACAGGACTTCCCTATGGATGGAATGGGGAGATTGGGACATGACCCACCACGCAGGTCCAGTACGGATTGGCGGGTGACAATCACGCGTCTTTTATTACATTTATAACTTTCGTAATGTATTTAAGAGTCATATTGTTCGCTACCTGCGGAGACGAAAGGATTTTTTTTTTACCGCCAACCAAAATAAAACGTTTACAACTGCACCGAGTAACGCACACGACAAATTAAAAGTCCCGCGTTCAAAAAGTCCAGAGCCAGTCTTTGGGGAAAAATAGGCGGGTTTTCCCGATAAAATTTGAATTCTTAAGCTTAAATGTTCGGTTGCTGGGCTGCGTTCCTAGTTTACGTGCCGGTCTTAAAAATCGGCTCCTTCGTCAAAGCTAGTTTATATAAGTAAATGTATTTTTATCTATGAATATTATGTTCTTTTTTTTTGTTCTTATTTTATTTTTATTATTATGTATTCTTGTGTCAAAATATGTGAATCGTTACTAAAGCGCCTAATACGTCCTCAAACAGGCCCTGCCAGAATACCAGCGCTGATACAGTGAGAGAATATTTTCTCATTGTATCAGCATAAGCTGAGGCAGGGTCCTGATTGGCCATTTTAAACCTAATGTTTAATTTTTGTTCTTAGGTTAAGTTTCTTTTTTATGTTTTTTTTTTCCTCTGTTTCATAAACCATGGCCAATAAAGATTTTTCATTTCATTTCATTTCATTTCATAAATGTTAATAGCGTGCGCTTCTCTTAATTTTCGGGAAACAAATGTTCGCATACTGTGTGCGTTGAGTACGCGACAATTCCTCGGCGGACATTTTTTCACGATTCATCGAGGACAAAAGGCCCTCGTCTGCGCAGACCATTAGACTGAAATATTTATCTTTACTATTGTTTTGTAATTTCTCTATCGCGATATTTCTATTG